AAACAACATCAACTTCTTTGGATGGAGACTGGCCTTTGGTGTGGTTGGTGGTGGTTCATTTCATTTGCCCCAGGATCTCTTCCATTCCACATTATTGTACAGTACCCACTTTTCATCACCCGTCATAATTTGTTCGTTTGTTTGTTTGTTTTTGCGGTATGTGGGCCTCTCACTGTTGTGGCCTCTCCCGTTGCGGAGCACAGACTCCAGACACGCAGGCTCAGCGGCCATGGCTCACGGGCCCAGCCGCTCCGCGGCATGCGGGATCTTCCCGGACCCGGGCACGAACCCATGTCCCCTGCATCGGCAGGCGGACTCTCAACTACTGCACCACCAGGGAAGCCCCATAATTTGTTTTAAAAACGGAAGTTTTCATTATGTTTAAGTAGAGAATCGCATGGGAAATATGGTCAAGAAGTTTTTTTTCACTTAACTTATGTGGAACCCAAACATCAAAGCAATTAACATAACCAAGCTGGTGCAAATGATTTTCAACACTTGATTTGGATATTTTGAGTATGTCGGCTATCTCCAGAGGGGTATAACGTTGATTGTTCTCAATTAATGTCTTGATTTGATTGCTGTCACCTTCAACTGGTCTAATGACCGTGGAGCATCGTCCAGCGAGAAATCTCCAGCATAAAACTTCGCAAACCACTTTTGACACATTTGATCAGTCACAGCACCTTCTCCGTACACTGCACAAATCTTTTTTGCGTTTCAGTTGCGTTTTTACCTTTCTTGAAATAATGCAGCGTAATATGCTGAAAATGTTGCTTTCTTTCTTCCATCTTCAATTTTAAAATGGCTACACAAAAATTCACCAATTTTGGGCTTCCCTGGTGGCACAGTGGTTGAGAGTCTGCCTGCCGGTGCAGGGGACACGGGTTCGTGCCCTGGTCTGGGAAGATTCCACATGCCGCGGAGCGGCTGGGCCCGTGAGCCATGGCCGCTGAGCCTGTGTGTCCGGAGCCTGTGCTCTGCAACGGGAGAGGCCACAACAGTGAGAGGCCCGCATACAGCAAAAAAAAAAAAAAAAAAAAAAAATTCACCAATTCTGTTGGCTTTTTTTAAATGCACACTGATATGACAGCTGTCACATACAATCTAACAAAATTGTTTTGAATGGAGTTAAAGATGACTAAGAGCTATTAGAGCCATCTTACAGAAAAAACTGAATGAACCTTTTGGCCAACCCAATAATTTCTGTCTCTATAGATTTTTCTATTCTGTACATTCCACGTAAATGGAATTATACAATATATGACTGGCTTCTTTCATCTTCAAGGTACATCCCTGTTGTAGCATGTATCATACTTCAGTTGCTTTTATTGATGAATAATATTCCATTGTACAGACATACAAATTTCATCTACTCATTCATCAGTTGATGAATGTTTGAGTTGTTTCTACTTTTTGAATATTTTGAGTCATGTTGCTATGAATATTTGTATAAAAGTTTTATATGGATTTCTTTTTTATTTTCCTTGGTTATATACCCAGGAGTGGAATCCCTGGGTTATAGTGTAACTCTATTTCACATTTTGAGGAAATGCCAAACTATTTTCCAAAGAAACTACATGATTTTACATTTCTACCAGTAATGTATTAAGGCTCCAATTTCTCTACATCTTAGTCAGCCTGTATTAATATCTTTTTTTGTATCCATCCTAGTGAGTATGCCGTTATAGCTCATTGTGGATACGATTTGCAGTTTACTAATGGCTAATGATGTTGAGCATCTTACCATGTGCTTATTGGTCATTTATATATATATTTTTGGATAAGTGTCTATTAAGATCCTTTGCCCATTTTTTCAATTGAGTTATTTGTCTTTTTATTATTGAGTTGTAAGAGTTCTTTATTTATTCTGGATATAAATTCCTTATCAGATATATGCTTTGCAAATATTTTCTCCCATTCTTTGGGTTGTCGTTTTACTTTCTTGATAGTATCCTCTACAGCACAAAAGTTTTTAAGTCTCACGAGGTTCAATTTATCTATTTTTAATTTTATTGCTTGTGCCTTTTGGGTCATATGTAAGAAACCATTGCCTAATCCTAAGTCACTAAGATTTAAGCATATGTTTTCTTCTAAAATTTTTATAGTTTTGGTCCTTACATTTAGGTCTATGATCCATTTTGAGTTAGTTTGTATATATTAGTCCAACTTGATTCTTTTGCATGTTGATATCCAGTTGTTGCAGTATCATTTGTTAAAAGACTGTTCATTTCTCATTGAATTGTCTTAGCACCCTTGGCAGTAATCAACTGACTGAAAATGTGAACATTTATTTCTGGAATCTCAATGCTGTTCCATTGATCTAAATGTTTATCCTATGCCAGTGCCTCATTGTCTTGATTACTGTAGATTTGTCTAAATTTAAAAAATGTGAATGCTCCAACTTTGTTCTTCTTTTTCAAGATCATTTTGGTGTTCTTGGCCTCTTGAATACCCATATGAATCTTAGGGTCGACTTGTCAATTTCTGCAAAAAAAAGCCAGCTGGGGTTTTGTTAGGGATTGCATTGATTCTGAAGATCAATCTGTGGAGTATTGTCACCTTAACAATAGTATTTTAATCCATGGGTATGAGAAGCCTTTCTTTTTATTTAGGTTGTCTTAAATTTTTTTCAAAAGTGTTTTGTAGTTTTTAGCATGTAAGTTTTGTACTTCTTTTGTTCATTTTATTACTGAATATTTTATTCCTTTGGCTGCTATTGTAAATGAAATTGTTCTCTTAATTTCATTTTTGGATACTGCATTGCTAGTATATAGAACTATAATTGATTTGTACATTAATTTTGTAATCTTGCTTAACTTCTTTATTAGTTCTAATAATTTTTCAGTGTATTTCTTAGGCTTATATACACAAGATCATGTCATCTGCAGATAGTTTTAGTTCTTTTTTCAAAAAAATCTGATGTCTTTCTTTTTTTCTTGCCTAATCGCCCTGGATAGGATGTAGAAGTGGCAAGAGCGGACATACTTGTTTCATTCCTGATCTTAGAGGGAAAGCACTTATTCTTTCACTAATTAGTATGATGTTAGCTGTAGGTTTTTTGTACATGCCATTTATCAGATTGAGGAAGTTCTCTACAGTTCTGTTTATTCAGTGCTTTTTAACATGAGTGGGTGTTGGATTTTCTGAAATAATTTTTCTGCATCTATTGAGGTGACCATGTGATTTTTGTCCTATGTTCTATTGAGATAGGATATTACATTAATTTTTTGATGTTAAACCAACCTTGCATTCCTGGCATAAATTCTACCAAGTCACATTGTATTTCCTTTTTATATGTTGCTGGAATTGGTTTGCTAATATTTTATTGGGGATTTTTATACCTATATTAATTAAGAATTAGTGGTATTTAGTTTTCTTTTCTTGTGATGACTTTGTTTCTGGGATCAGGGTAATACTGGCCATAGAGTGAGTTGGGAAGTGTTCCCACCTGTTCTGTTTTTTTTTGAGAGAAACTATATTCGATTATTGTTATCCACATTGATCTGCATGAAGATTATGAATATCTTCCTGTTGACAATTCTGTTTATAAGTCAAAATAAGAAGGACAGTTCAGAATCAAAGGGAAACAGCTCAGTTAAGGATCATGAATAGAAAATGGGTCTTCTTAGTAATAATTTTTTAACCAACTTAGTTGAGAATTCTTTGGAGGTTATAGAACAGTAGTTGGTTGGTTAAAGACATTGTGGTATATTCATACTATAATAAGCTCTGCAACTTTTAAATAGGTTGAAGCATTATACATCTAAACATATTTTTTTGTGGAAATATTTCTATGATATACTGCTAAGGGAGAAAACCAGATTACAGATCTGGTTATATATTAGTTAATATGCATATGCATATATGTTCATATATGCTTTAAAAGAAAATGAGGAGTTTATGCAATGAACTCCTTACCGTGTTTTCTCTGGGGAATGAGTTTTAGATAAACTACATGCTATAGTTAATCTTTTCATCTTCAAATGTTTACAAAAGCCATATTTTATTATAAAGATATTTCCATTAAAAATAGTTTTTGGAGCACTAAATATGTGGCTGAACAAGGTATAGAATCCCTTTTATCCTGACCTATGTGGGTCCTCTATTTTTTTGGAAAAGTTATAGCACATTTCATATTGAAATTAGCTCCTGTCTAATATTGCATATTCCTTTTTTACATGTTAGTCTTATCTCTTTTGTGATATTATGAACTCTTTATATTTTCTTTCCTTTCTTTCCCACTGTGTTATTATGAAAGCTTTCAAACATACAGAGGAGTTGAAAGAATTATACTGGAACACTCATATATGTATTTATATGTTGTCACAATTTTATTGTACTGTTTGATGAGTTTTGACTAAAGTATACATGTTTGTAATTCAAACCTTGTCAAAATAAAGTTCCTTCATACCCCTTCCAGTCAGTTCTCCTCAAATCAACCACTGTTCTGATTTTTTTCACCATAGGTTAGTTTTACTTGTTTAGAATTTAATATAAATGTAATCATACTATATGTACTCTTTGTGTATTGCTTCTTTTACTTAGCGTAATATATTTGAGAATCATCCATGTTTTGGCTTCTGTCATTAGTTTATCTTTTAATTGTTGAGTAGTATTCTATTGTATGCATATACCACAGTTTTGTTTTTGAATTCTCTTGTTGATTGTCACCTGGGCTGTTTCTAGGTTGTTATGTATAAAGCTGTTAGGGACATATACAAATTATTATGTGGGTATATGCTCTTCATTTTCTTGGGTACATACACAGGAGTGGAATTTCTAGGTCATAGGACAGGTATATGTTTAGTTTTTAAAGAACTACAGCACATTTTTCTAAAGTGGTTGTGTCATTTTACACTTCTACCAACAATACTTGGTAGTAGTTTTTAAAAAATAAATAATTATTTTAGTCATTCTGGTGGTTGGATAGTGGTATCTTGTTGTGATTTTAATTTTTATTTCCCTGATGACTATTTTCACTGTTTTCTCTCTTTCAGACAGTTCGGCATGGTTTTCCTTATCAGCCCACAGCATTAGCCTTTGATCCAGTTCAGAAAATCTTGGCTATTGGGACGAGAACTGGTGCTATACGAATGTATCCTTATTTTTTGGTTCATTATTTGCTATATTAATACGAATTACATTTCCTTAAATATTTAGGTAAGTGAAATATTTATGACCAAATAAAGTTTACTGTTTCTTTAGCAATGAGTAACCCACATCATCAAATTTATTGGCATATATTTAATGTCTGTGAGATAAGTATTGATGCTCCTTTTAAAATCCCTGATATTGGTGATTTGTGTCTTCTACTTTTTCCTGATTAGTCTGGCTAGAAGCTTATCAGCTGCACTGATTTTCATAAGAACCAACTTTTGGTTTCATTGCTTTTCTGTATTGTTTTCCTATATTTTATTTCATTGATTCCTGGTTTGATTTTTTTTATTTCCCCTCTTCTGATTAATTTTGGGTTTCATTTTATCTTTTTCTAGTGTTTTAAGGTGGAAACTGAAGTCACAGATTTGAGAACTTTCTTCTTTTCTAATATATGCCTGTAGGGCTGTGAATTTCCTCCCAAATTTTGTTTTAGTGTCATCCCGTTTCTGTAAATGTTTTCCTCTAAAAGTTTTATAGTGTCTGGCCTTACATTTAGGTCTTTAATCCATTTTGAGTTTATTTTGGTGTATGGTGTTAGGGAGTGTCCTAATTTCATTCTTTTACATGTAGCTGTCCAGTTTTCCCAGCACCACTTATTGAAGAGGCTGTATTTTCTACATTGTATATTCTTGCCTCCTTTATCAAAGATAAGGTGACCCTATGTGCATGTGTTTATCTCTGGGCTTTCTCTCCTGTTCCATTGATCAATATTTCTGTTTTTGTGCCAGTACCATACTGTCTTGATTACTGTAGCTTTGTAGTTTAGTCTGAAGTCAGGGAGCCTGATTCCTCCAGCTCCGTTTTTCTTTCTCAAGACTGCTTTGGCTATGCGGGGTCTTTTGTGTTTCTATACAAATAGTGAAATTTTTTGTTCTAGTTCTGTGAAAAATGCCATTGGTAGTTTGATAGGGATTGCATTGAATCTGTAGATTGCTTTGGGTAGTAGAGTCATTTTCACAATATTGATTCTTCCAATTCAAGAACATGGTATATCTCTGCATCTGTTGGTATCATCTTTAATTTCTTTCATCAGTGTCTTATAGTTTTCTGCATACAGGTCTTTTGTATCCTTAGGTAGGTTAATCCCTAGGTATTTTATTCTTTTTGTTGCAGTGGTAAATGGGAGTGTTTCTTTAATTTCTCTTTCATATTTTTCATCATTAGTGTATAGGAATGCAAGAGATTTCTGTGCATTAATTTTGTATCCTGCTACTTTACTAAATTCATTGATTAGCTCTAGTAGTTTTCTGGTAGCATCTTTAGGATTCTCTACGTAAAGTACATCATCTGCAAACAGTGACAATTTTACTTCTTCTTTTTGGATTTGTATTCCTTTTATTTCTTTTTCTTCTCTGATTGCTGTGGCTAAAACTTCCAAAACTATGTTGAATAATAGTGGTGACAGTGGACATCCTTGTCTTGTTCCTGATTTTAGAGGGAATGGTTTCAGTTTTTCACCATTGAGAATGATGTTGGCTGTGGGTTTGTCATATATGGCATTTATTATGTTGAGGTAAGTTCCCTCTATGCCTACTTTCTGGAGAGTTTTTATCATAAATGGGTGTTGAATTTTGTCGAAAGCTTTTTCTGCACCTACTGAGATAATCATATGGCTTTTATCCTTCAGTTTGTTATTGTGGTATATCACATTGATTGAATTGCGTATATTGAAGAATCATTGCATTCCTGGGATAAACCCCACTTGATCATGGTGTATGATCCTTTTAATGTGTTGTTGGATTCTGTTTGCTAGTATTTTGTTGAGGATTTTTGCATCTATGTTCATTAGGGATATTGGTCTGTAGTTTTCTTTTTTTGTGACATCTTTGTCTCGTTTTGGTATCAGGGTGGTGGCCTCGTAGAATGAGTTTGGGAGTGTTCCTCCCTCTACTATTTTTTGGAAGAGTTTGAGAAGGATAGGTGTTAGCTCTTCTCTAAATGTTTGATAGAATTTGCCTGTGAAGCCATCTGGTCCTGGGCTTTTGTTTGAAGATTTTTAATCGCAGTTTCAATTTCAGTGCTTGTGATTGGTCTGTTTATATTTTCTGTTTCTTCCTGGTTCAATTTCGGAAGGTTGTGCTTTTCTACAAATTTGTCTATTTCTTCCAGGTTGTCCATTTTACTGGCATATAGTTGCTTGTAGTAATCTCTCATGATTCTATGTATTTCTTTTTTTTAAAAAAACCATCATTATTGGCGTATAATTGCTCTACAATGGTGTGTTAGTTTCTGCTTTATAGCAAAGTGAATCGGCCATACATATACATATATCCCCATATATCCTCCCTCTTGTGTCTCCCCCCACCCTCCCTATCCCACCCCTCTAGGTGGTCACAAACCTTTATGTATTTCTGCACGGTCAGTTTTCACTTCTTTTTCATTTCTAATTCTGTTGATTTGAGTCTTCTCCCTTTTTTCTTGATGAGTCTGGCTAATGGTTTATCAATTTTGTTTATCTTCTCAAAGAACCAGCTTTTTGTTTTCTTGATCTTTGCTATTGTTTCCTTCATTTATTTTTTATTTTTTTTTTTTGCTCTCATTTATGATTTCTTTCCTTCTGCCAACTTTGCTTTTTTTTTTGTTCTTCTCTAATTGCTTTAGGAATAAGGTTAGGTTGTTTGAGATTGTTCTTGTTTCTTGAAGTAGGATCGTATTGCTATAAACTTCCATCTTAGAACTGCTTTTGCTGCATCACATAGATTTTGAGTCATTGTGTTTTCATTGTCATTTGTTTCCAGATATTTTTGATTTCCTCTCTGATTTCTTCAGTGATCACTTGGTTATTTAGTAGCGTATTGTTTAGCCTCCATGTGTTTGTATTTTTTACATTTTTTTTCCTGTAATTGATATCTAGTCTCATAGCGTTGTGGTCAGGAAAGATAATTGATATGATATCAATTTTCTTAAATTTACAAAGGCTTAACTTGTGACCCAAGATATGGTCTATCCTGGAGAATGTTCCATAAGCACTTGAGAAGAAAGTGTGTTCTGTTGTTTTTGGATGGAATGTCCTATAAATATCAATTAAGTCCATCTTGTTTAATGTGTCATTTAAAGCTTGTGTGTCCTTATTTTTATTTATTTATTTATTTTTTTACATCTTTATTGGAGTATAATTGCTTTACAATGGTACGTTAGTTTCAGCTTCACAACAAAATGAATCAGTTATATATATACATATGTTCCCATATCTCTTCCCGCTTGCGTCTCCCTCCCTCCCACCCTCCCTATCCCACCCCTCCAGGCGGTCACAAAGCACCGAGCTGATCTCCCTGTGCTATGCGGCTGCTTCCCACTAGCTATCTACCTTACGTTTGGTAGTGTATATATGTCCATGCCTCTTTATCGCTTTGTCACCGTTTACACTTCCCCCTCCCCATAGCCTCAAGTCCATTCTCTAGTAAGTCTGTGTCTTTATTCCTGTTTCACCGCTTATTTATTTTTATTTTGGATGATCTGTCCATTGGTGAAAGTGGGATGTTAAAATCCCCTACTATTACTGTGTTTCTGTCGATTTCCCCTTTTCTGGCTGTTAGCATTTGCCTTATGTACTGAGGTGCTCCTGTGCTGGGTGCATAAATATTTGCATTTGTTATATCTTCTTTGATTGATCCCTTGATCATTATGTAGTGTCTTTCTTTGTTTCTTGTAATAGTCTTTATTTTAAAGTCTTTTTTGTCTGATATGAGAATTGCTACTCCAGCTTTCTTTTGATTTCCATTTGCATGGAATATCTTTTTCCATCCCCTCACTTTCAGTCTGTATGTGTCCCTAGGTCTGAAGTGGGTCTCTTGTAGACAACATATATATGGGTCTTGTTTTTGTATCCATTTAGCCTGTCTATGTCTTTTGGTTGGAGCATTTAATTCATTTACATTTTAGGTAATTATTTATATGTATGTTCCTATTACCAGTTTCTTAATTGTTTTGGCTTTGTTTCTGTAGGTCTTTTCCTTCTCTTGTGTTTCCTGCCTAGAGAAGTTCCTTTAGCATTTGTTGTAAAGCTGGTTTGGTGGTGCTGAATTCCCTTAACTTTTGCTTATTTGTAAAGGTTTTAATTTCTCCATCGAATCTGAATGGCATCCTTGCTGGCTAATCTTTTTTGTAGATTTTTCCCTTTCATCACTTAAAATATGTCCTGCCACTTCCTCTGGCTTGCAGAGTTTCTGCTGAAAGATCAGCTGTTAACCTTATGGGGATTCCCTTGTATGTTATTTGTTGTTTTTCCCTTGCTGTTTTTAATATTCTTTCTTTGTATTTAATTTTGATAGTTTGATTAATTTGTGTCTTGGTGTGTTTCTCCTTGGATTTATCCTGTATGAGACTCTCTGTGCTTTCTGGACTTCATTGAGTATTTCCTTTCCCATGTTAAGGAAATTTTCAACTATAATCTCTTCAAATATTTTCTCAGTCCCTTTCTTTTTCTCTTCTTCTTCTGGAACCCCTATAATTCGAATGTTGGTGCATTTAATGTTGTCCCAGAGGTCTCTGAGACTGTCCTCAATTCTTTTTTTCTTTATTCTGCTCTGCAGTAGTTATTTCCACTATTTTATCTTCCAGGTTACCTATCCGTTCTTCTGCCTCAGTTATTCTGCTATTGAAACCTTCTAGAGAATTTTTTTTTTGTTGTTGTTGTTGTTTTACATGGGCCTCTTACTGTTGTGGCCTCTCCCATTGCAGAGCACAGGCTCTGGACACACAGGCCCAGCGGCCATGGCTCACGGGCCCAGCTTCTCCGTGGCATGTGGGATCTTCTCGGACTGGGGCACGAACCCATGTCCCCTGCATTGGCAGGCGGACTCTCAGCCACTGCGGCACCTGGGAAGCCCCCTTCTAGAGAATTTTAAATTTCATTTATTGTGTTGTTCATCATTGTTTCTTTGCTCTTTAGTTCTCCTACATCCTTGTTAAACATTTCTTGTATTTTCTCCATTCTAT